ATATATATATATATATATATATATATATATATATATATATATATATGGACAAATATGTGGTTAAGTCTATTGAAACTATGTAGTTCTCTCATCATCCGTTCTGGTGAGTCAAAATAAATTGACTGCATTGAACTTGGTTCCTCATAATGTGTGCGAATGTTCACATTTAGATTGATTTTATTTTTGGTGAGACCTGTAAAACGTGAACCCCTATGTAAAATGATGGTTAAAAACAAGAAACTGTTTAAAGCCTTAAGCTCATATCTTGGACAACTCTGAAGAGTCTGCCACAGTTATGGCTTTTCCTTTGTGACCCACAGCTGAACGTGGCTTTTATCACCGGTTTTATTTCATTCTCTTCTGACAGAAAATGGTGACTGAGAACATGGACATCCTGGTTCAGCTGAAAAATAACTTTGACAAGCCCGAGGAAATGACCAACCTGAAAAAAAGACTGACAGGTGAGAAGTGGTGAGAGGAACTTGAGTGGAAGAAAAGATAAAGAGATGTGAAGCTTAAGGGGACGGGTTGAAGGAAGTTATCAATAAGAATGAGACAGAATGAGGTTGTGTTCACTGAAGTCAGTGAAAAAGAACATAAAACAGTGAAGAAATAAGGTCTACTAAACACATCTCTATCTACAGTACTCTTGTTACTCTTACTGGACTCATTTTAGAGGTAGTTATCGTGTTATAACTCAATGTCACACTAAAATGTGGCAGAACACTTGACTGAAGCTAAAAGAATCAAACAGTAAGCTAAAAGTTTAAAGGTAGCAACAGCCCAGCTAAAAGCTAAAAGTATATATATTTAATTAAAGCAAGTGTGCTGAAGACGATTTCCATCCATCCATCCATTTTCTTTACCCGCTTATTCCATTTTGGGTCACGGGGGTCGCTGGTGCCCATGTCCAGCAATCACTGTGCGAGGGGCGGGGTACACCCTGGATGGGTCGCAAGTCCATCACAGGGCCACATAGAGACAAACGAGACCAACAAACATTCACTCTCTCACTCACACCTAGGGACAATTTAGAGTTACCAATCAGCCTCACATGCATGTTTTTGGACTGTGGGAGGAAACCGGAGTACCCGGAGAAAACCCACGCATGCACGGAGAGAACATGCAAACTCCACCCAGAAAGGCCCCTGGACCAGGGTTTGAACCAAGGACCTGCTCGCTGAGAGGCAGCAGCTCTACCAGTTGCGCCACCGTGCTGCCCGAAGACGATTTCAAAGAGAAAAATGTTTTCCAACAAGCTGAAAAGCTCTCCGTGTATATTTAATTTGGCAATTTAATATAATCTTTTTGAAAAGTATAAAAGTCACAAAAATCTAAAGTCATAGCCATATTCTTGTGAATAGTTCAAAGCTCAAATTGTGTGAATCAGCGTTAACACTTATTAAACTGCAATAATTCATGGGAACAGATCTTTGGGATCAATCCCACATGCTCCTAATGTTGATACTTCCAGTCTGTTGATGAAGCCTGATTTAGAGTTTTTGTTCAAATTTTCCAGATGGGACTTCTCCTTTAATTTAGCAGTAAATCAAAGCCCAACTATCTACGTCTGTGGTCTTCCACCTGTGTAATGTCACTAAAATTAGAAACATCTTATCTAAAAATGATGCAGAAAAACTGGTTTATGCATTTGTCACATCTAGACTGGACTATTGCAATGGTTTATAATCTGGGTGTCCAAAAACTTCTTTAAAAAATCTTCAGTTGATCCAAAATGCTTCTGCCAGAGTCTTAACTGGAGTTAGTAGGAGAGATCATATCTCTCCAGTTTTAGCTTCTCTCCATTGGCTCCCTGTCAAGTCCAGAATTGAATTCAAAATCTTATTCCTAACCTACAAAGCCCTCAACAACCTAGCTCCATCTTATATTTGAGATCTTATTGTTTCATATTTTCCTAACAGAGCACTTCACTCTCAGACTGCAGGTTTACTGATTTGCTAAAACTGAATATTTTTCATTTGATACTGTTTCTATTTTAACATGTGATTCTTGACCTGCCATTGTGTATCTGTTCCTCTCAAACCCAGCCGGTCGAAGCAGATGGCCGCTTGTCCTGAGCCTGGTTCTGCTAAAGGTCTCTTCCTCACGAGGGAGTTTTTCCTTTCCACTGTCGCCTTCATGCTTGCTCAAGATGAGAGTTCTGTGATGGAGTTAAATTCAAAACAGTCTGCTCCTCAGATAAATAATGTTAAATTATTATTTTTATATGTGAATGTTTCTGTTCAGTGACCTGAGATGACTTCTGTTGTGATTTGGAGCTATAAAAATAAATTGAATTGGAATTAACACTTTGATATAGACTGACGCTCTCCTGCTGTAATAATAGTTTTACATCGAGTCTCACATTTGAAGAACGAGCTCTGGCTTCGAGTCCTTCCACTGTTAAAGTGTGTATTGTGTATTGTTCAGAACATGTGATTGATTTTCTGCACACTACCAGGTGGAGAGAATGTCCTGAAGAGGATGACCATCATCGGGGTGATCCTGTCTTTCCGATCAATGGTGCAAAACTGTCTGAAAGATGTAAGATCCAACAGGATTATAAAATAACTTGTTTAATAAACATCTCATAATGTGGTATGGGCTTAAAAGATATCTAGATGAGGGTATAAATCTATAATATGTTATTTGATGATATAATTCCTAAGGTGCCTGTTCAAGTGAATAATAAATAAACACATTTTAGTTAGTTAATAAACTCCTGGGCAACTTTGTTGGAAGCTCATTGAGAACAAAAATAATTGTTTTACTCTCTTAGTGAAAATAATTAAACTTTTTGCAGACCTTCAACTGAATCCTATACAGTTCATAGTTTCCTAAGTATGATTTAAGAAAGTGATTTACAACCACAAGTTGCTAAAATATCTGAAAAAAGATTTTAAAAATGTAATTTTAAAATTCACAAAAGCTCTGAGAAACTTCACCTAAACCCAAGAACTACATCAATTATTCAGACATCTTATCGGATGACTGTGCTCTGTGGATGCCATAAAACAAAGAAACAGCTGCTAAATATTTACAATAAAGTAATTATATCACATCATGAACTTTAATCCCTCTAGATGACATCAAATAGTCCAAACAATACAATTTAAGAACATGAACATCTATAGAGTGCAGTTTAAACAATCAAAAAGAAAGAATATTCTTCACAGCAGAGAGGTTTGACTCTGTGTGTCTTTCTGTGAAGAGTTAGCATGTTCTCCTGAAAGATTCTGGGATATTAAGACAGTCTGTCTTCAAAGGTTAATTAGTTTTCAAATGGGATTTTTGGAGTAAATGTGAGCACATGCTGTTTCATAAGACCTAGGTCTTGTGATGGACTGCTGAATCGCTCCTATGTGGTCCTGCTAATGGCTCAGTACCATACCAGTCTTTGCTGGAATAGGCTACACTATCTCGCAAACTTAAATTAGAAAATTTGTTTAAAGTTTTTCATATATCACAAAAAATTGTAATGATCCAAATCCAGAAAATTGAGTTCCCTCTTTTATATTGCCAAAGAAAGTTGTCCAAACCACCCACTTAATATATTTTTTGTCTGTGTTCGCACCATACATGGAGTCAAGGTTCAAGGTTCTTTATTTGTCGTACCACCACATGTACCACATGTGATGGAAGGAAATTGTGTATACAGGGTCCCAGTTACGTCCAAAAAAGTATTAAATTGTAAAAGAAAAACAGTAATAAGATCTAAGATATGAACTAAGAAAAACATTAATAAAAATACACTAAGCACTAGTAGCATAAAATAGTATAAATACACCGAACAGCATACCACCGTGACGTTTCAGTTTCACTCTTTGCTTTTTATAGTTTATCAGTTTACCAAAGTATTTATAACACCAATGCATACCCTTTATTTTAATGACATAAATAAAATATTAAATAATAAAGGTGAACTGCAAGTTATTGTTGCGCTGAACTCTTCACATAAAGCTGACATAATGCACATAAATGTCGTCTTTATGGGTGATCCAGTAACGATGTGTCATATAATCTTGTAATCCAGATCCTGCAGAAGCATTGCCCCTTCATGATGGGCCCCATAGAGAGCCTGAGAGACTTCATCACTCCTGAAGCTGACATTCAGGTAAACACAGCTGTTACACAGAGAACTGCACTTCAAATGGGTCACCACGTGTTGATATTCCACTGAAGAATCAAAGTGCACTGATCCAAGTGTGCAATACATTTGCTTTTGAGATATGTTGTTGGGGAGGCAACTTCTTGTCATTTGAAGTTAGGAACGCAAAAAATAGCACCTGGGCTGGATGCAAAGTATTTAGAAACTGCATGATACTTAGTGAATCTGAATCTGAAGTTGAGAACCTTAAGAGAAACAAGCCTTTTAAGCCACTCGGTACCCACCAAACTAAATTCCTAATCTCCCTCTGGAGCAATCTGTGTGTCTGTGACTCATGAACTCTCCCTCCTCTAACTTACGTCTGGCCTCTGAGTGAGGCATGACAGCCGTGCCACAGCCACAGGCCAGGATAACCCTAAAGACGTCAGCAGCCCTCTCATGCCTCCGTGAGAGAGAGACTGATTATGACTGCAGCTTTTGCTCTTTGAACCACATCAGCCATCCACATTCTGCTCAGACAGGCAAACTGTGAATGCAACCAGAAAAATGACTAGATCAGAAATTTTGCATTGAGACAAAGACCCTTGAGTGATTTTATGGTACTTTTTTTTTACACCTTATATCACTTTTTTCTGAGGAAGAAAATTATAAATATATCATATGTGATACTATGATATGGTTAGCCCCCAAAAAAGCAAGTAAATAACACCTTATCAGACTAATCAGTGTATAATTTGGGCTACAAAATGGGTATAAAATACTTCCTGTAAGCATTTTACATTTTCATTACAACTAAAGCTCTGAAGCTCAAGTTGCAGCCTAATCTTTTTCTAATCTTGCAGGTGACCCTGAGCATTTTTGAGTTGGCTACTGCAGCTGGGCTAAAATGTGATATTGATCCTGACCTTGTAGCAGCTATTGGTAACATGAAGACAGGTAACATATTATTCTATTTATGACCCTTAAAAACAAAGCATACAGAGTTAAAAGAACATTTTTTCCTGACTTTTTTTATTCTATGAATAACTCTGCAGATAACACATCGGTTGAAGAGGAGTTCAAGCTCTCTTGTTTGCTGCTCGTCTACATCGCTGTGTCCCTGCCATCCCTGGCTTTGGATTCGAACTCCTTTTACAGCCGAGAGCATGGAGGTGCATAATCAGTTGCTCATTTAGGCTGCTACAGTCTCTGGTTGACAGTAATTATTCTCCAGACAACTCCCAACTCAACTCTAATCAGTTGTTCCTCCAGCCATTATTTCCCAGCTGCTGATAGTGTGTAAAAAAAGGCACTCCACCCTGAAACACTAGCATCACACTTTCCAGTCGGACATGGTCCGAAAGAAAGCATGTTGGCTAATAGGAACCACGTTTTAGTTGTGAGACTTTTGTTTACAGATATCTCCGGTTGACGTGTATCAATGCTGTTACTTTTGGCATGTGGCCCTGGCGACCCTAACTGCTTGGCTTTGAGCCTAGACAGAAACATTAAGAGTACTAAATGGCCAAGATTTCTATCAGAGCATAAAGTGGCATTTGCCTATGATTATTTTCTTTGCCTTTATTTTCCATTGACATATTTGAAACAAATTAACCCTGTGAGCCTGAGGAAATATGCCCAGCATGCTTCCTCTTGTGTTACACATCATTAAGTAAATTTCTCCAATTGGCCTGGCCACAAAAAAACATCCTCTCTGCTGCTTAGGTACATGACATGCTTTTCCACAATAATTTGCAGTGATTTAAAAAGATTATTTTACTTCTGCATTCACTTTCAGGCCACAACAACAACATCCACTGTTTAGCTGCGGCCATCAACCAGCTGTTCGCTGCCATGTTCACCATTCAGAACCAGAACATAGAGCAGCAGCTCAAAGAGTTTCTCCTGGTGAGTAGCACACTTGTTCTTAGAAAACAAAAAGGTTTACAACACTGATAAACAGGAAACTAAATGTCACATGGTTGTGATACAAATGATTTGTACCAGCAATTTAATTAGATTTCAAATTCAACAAATGGTCAAATTTTTGTTTTTGCCACATTTAAATGGAAATGCATCAACAATAAAGCACATAGCTTAATCACACACCTGTAAACAAATGCTAAAAACCTGATTTAGTTTTATCGATGAACATCTACATGATGGCTTGATGCGGATTCACAGAAATGTAATAAAACCATTATACTTCAAATGTGTCAAAGGACAAGCGCTTGCCTAGGTACACATGTCGGACCATATTTGTGTTAAAAAACTTTCTCAGGACACTGCCAACCTTTTGGCCCAGCTGAGGTCATGACCAGCATCATGAAAGCATTCCTCTTGTTTGATTTGTCTCATTTTAACCGCACATCATTCCACAGCTGGCCTCCTCCACCCTGCTTCAGCTGGGCCAAAGTGTGGAAAAAGTTGAGGTCAAAAACAGAGAGTCCGTCTACCTGCTTCTGCACATGGTAGGCTCACGAGAATACTCTAAAAATAATGTACTTTGCAGGAAAAAATTGTTTTGTGTGAGTTATTGGTTTGACACATGGAAAAAACGGGCACCTTAATAACCCATCAGAAGCAGTCCTAATAAACAGTAAACTCATATGAAAAATTATTATTATTTTTTTTTATTACAATTGTAAATATAGCAATCTGGTTCAGAAATTTTCATGTACAGGTAAATGTATTTTTATTCTTTTAAATAGTATAAGAGTTAGAAGAAGTAATTATATATGTAGCCAGAACTCATAGATGTAATGTTTTCCACAGTTACACAGAAGAAGGTGTTGACTCAAGTTCTCTGTGTTGGTTCATTAAAAAAAATATCAGTGAGCCTCATAGAAGCTGCTGTTTAAAAGGAAACAAGGTGCACTTTTTTCAAGTAATTTCATTGCGCACCCACCCAGTGTGGTAAAAGACAAAAAATCTGGGCTAATGTTACATTTCCTGCATCTTTTAATTTAAAACAACTGATTTTAAAATACACAACTTGCTTTAAATATTTGTACCACAGGTGCATATTTACTTTAGTTTTACAGCTTTAAACCTATGAAGCTAATCTGAGGGCATTCATAAATAACTAAATAAATAAATTAATCCCTGCTCTACTGATATTTTTTATTTAGATTGTGGAGGAGTCTCCGTTCCTGAGCCAAGACATGCTGGAGAGCTGCTTCCCTTATGTTCTTCTCCGAAACGCCTACAGGGAGGTGCACAAGGCCTTCATTGTCACTCTGGGCTGAAGACGTTCCTGTTGTTTATATTGATTGTTCGTGATCTAAAAAATATATATTGCACAAGATTTGTTTTAATTTCTATTCAACTTTGTATTTGCAACAGTCTCCTCACATGCTGATAATGGAGTTGAATAATTTGATGTATTATTCCTGGGGAAACTATTTTTATTTCTTTTTATTATAATTCTAATGGATTTTCATGAGTTGTGATGTAACTAATATCATCAAATTTATTTTAATCACCTGCAAGAAAAATGTAAACAGTCTCATATCGTATTTTTACTTTTTATTTTCCACCAAGAGAGATGGAATATAAAGAAAACACGTCTTTTTTTTAATGATTATCAAAGATTATCCAGCACTAACACACACACACACACACACACACATATATATATATATATATATATATATGTATATATATATGCATTATGTCTGTGGGTGGAAACCAGAGTACCCAGAGAAAACCCATAGATGCACGAAGAGAACATGTAAACTCCACCCAGCAGAAAGACCTATACCCGTTTCTTTCTTTTCGGGTCATGGAGGTCACTTGTGCCCAAATTTCCAACAGTCACTGTACGAGAGGCAGTTTCCATGGACATGTCTCCAGTCCATCATAGGGGCACATAGAGACAAATAAGACAGTCATTCACTCTCTTTCTCACACCTAGGGACAATTTATAGTCCATTCAGCCTAACATGCATGTTTTTGGTGTGTGGAAGAAAACATTGTACTCTGAGAAAACCCAAATATGCACAGAGAGAACATAAAAGATCAATCAGTTTGCTGGTGACATCCAGAACTAGTTGTTCACACGCCAAAGGAGGACCAGCAACCTAACAGCCGATCGTAAGTGCCCGGATAGACGCTTGCTATCCACAGAGGGCTGAGTGATACCAGCATTGAAAGAGAAGGACAGTTGAGCACGTAGGCTTCTGCTCCTGTTTAACAATGGATGGGTTCTCTTCACAAAGATGGCTTCCTTAACTCCTCTGTCAATCCAGTATTCCTTTCAATCAAGGATTGTAACATCTTCATCCCTGAAGCTGGCCTTCAGATGAATGCAAACCACAGAGTCCTGGCCTGATGACGTTGCTCTTCTGTGCTGGGCCATTGACAGTTTAGTTTCCTTGAAGTAAAGCTGACCACAGTCATTTGGTTTAAATTCAACATGTCGTTCTTGTGTGTGTCATGTTTGTCCTCTACCTTCACTATCTTCCCCTTACCTCTCTGCAAAAAAGTAAATTGCGTCATCTTCATATTTCATGAACAATTTGGTGAAGCACTCCAGTTCTGCAGGAGCAAAAGTGCTTGTAGCTAATTTTAGGCAACCTTTTAGCAATTATCTTTTGCAGCCAGCCCTGTTTCGTCATTCTTCTTCCTTTCTTTGCGTCTCCTCCCCTCCCATTCAGCCAGCTGCTGAGTAGGCGCTCAGTTGCCACTCTGGAGATGCATATATCCATCTACGTAGAGCCTGTGTGTATGTGCAAGCTCAATGTTTCTGTATCTCAGCCTGAGCTGCCACTTAAAGGCTCAAGAGGTTGAATTCCCACTACAGGGAGCATTTACATGAGGCAGGTGAATGTCCACGAAGAAAACAAATGAGAGTAGACAGCAGGCCACAAAATAAAAATTAACAACTGGAAGCAGAGTTGCCACAACGCTGAAAAAATCTTTGTAACTAATAAAGGGTAAGGCAACCGAGCACACTATAAAACATGACCTTGTGAAACATTTAAAAATGATTTCCCATCAAAATACTCTCAGACTCATCTTTCATGTTTGCATATCTTCTTGTTTTTGTACCCAGGGAGTGATCTCATGTCAGCAGGGAGGTTGGCTCGTTTTTGTTTCATCATTCCTCCCATCAAACACTTGAAAGCCTTGCAAGCTAACCCTTTATGAGACCATTAATGCCCTTTTTTCAATTCTTATTCTTTGGAGGATTTGAAGGGATTTTTCCCCTTTCCTGTTTAATGTGTCAGTGTGCTCTTATTGTCATGTGTTATGTGAGTAAAGCAGTAAAGTGTCCAGTAAACGCATGGCTTTACACCAATTTACAGTATAGGTAAATTCTATACCAAGCTGCATTTATATGTCACATTCCTTTATTAATTTAAAAAAATCCATTGAGTATATTTTAACAATAGTAAAAAAATAAAAGTTTTGAAAAGACAATAAAAACATTTTGAGTACTAATATGCTATATTTTACTATAGTTTAGCATCTTACATGGCAGATTTTGTTGGCACACATTGACAAAAAAAAATCTACTTTATAGCAGTTTGTTGGACCACCTTTATCTTTTATTGCTTTGATAAGCTCATGCACATAACACATTTTTTAATCAAGAACTGCACAGTATAGGTAAATTCTATACCACGCTGCATTTATACGTCACATTTGTTTATTAATTTAAAAAAATCCATTGAGAATATTTTAACAATAGTAAAAAAATAAGAGTTTATATATATATATATA